CTAAGAAACGTGATAAGAACACATACAGTACACAAGTTTTGTCATGGTCTTGCTGGGCCAGTACCCAAAAGTCAACATAAGCTGGTTCACCAGCATCCCAGGCAGGTCCCAGCATGCAAAACATACCTTATGCTGGTTCACTATCATCCCATGCAGGGATCCAGCAAACCAGCAACCAGCATCCAATGCTGGGATTCAGCCAACCAGCAATGTATTAAGCAAGGTATGAAGAATAGACCTCGGGTCTCTAGATATGCCTTCTTCAATACAAATGTGATTTAGTAACAGGTGCAGCAGAACACTATCCACATTCAAGATTAGCTGGGGATGTTCTTGCGTTTTTCCACTGCGCTAGTTTGGAATTGCTTTTATTTTAGGTTGAAGGTCGGATGGGAAAAACGACCCCAAAGTTAATAGTCATGCTCAGAATTAATGGCACCCCTAGTAAATATGATCAAAACAGGCTGTAAAAAATAAATCTGCATTATTTATCCTTTTGGTCTTTCATTTAAAAAGTTGCCAAAAATCTAACCTTTCATTGAAGTAAAAAGGGGGGGATTTATTATGAAAATTATGAAATAAATGTTTTCTTCAAAACACGTTGGCCACAATTATTGGCACCCTTTTATTAAATACTTTTTGTAATCTCCTTTCGCCAAGATAAAGCTTGGAGTCTAATCCTATAATGCCTGATGAGTTTGGAGAACACCTGACAAGAGATAAGAGACCATTCCTTCATACTATCATGATCCGGCCTTGATTTTCCCTAGTCTTGAGGCTGGATCATGTTTTGTGTACAAGTACATGGGTCTTTTGTTTGGGTCATGTGCTTGTGTTGTCACGCTACGTAACCCCGCCCCCTTGTTATTGTCGGCTTGTCATGATTGTCTAGTCAGCTTCACCTGTCCTCGTCATTAGTGTTCCATATTATACCCTTAGGTGCGTTCCATTCGACAGGGTCCCTACGCAGTGTTCACTGCTCCCTACTCCCTGAACACGGTATATCAGTCGAAGTGGACTTCACTGACTTCCTGTGAAGTGATGTATCGATGTTCCCTTATTCCCTATGCCGTTTGCAGTGCCCTTCGAACTGAACATGTTCGTTCCCTTCGAATTGGAATCTCACTTAAGATGGCGAAATACCCTGTGAAGTCCACTTCGCAGTTCACTTACGGTCGAATGGAACGCACCTCGTGTTTGCTGTCCTGTGCCGGTTCATTGTTTCGTACTTTGTGAGATTTGCGCCGTGAGTAGAAAGGCTTGTTTAAAGGAGTAGTTCACTTTAAAAAAAAAAATTGCTGATAATTTACTCACCCCCATGTCATCCAAGATGTCCATGTCTTTCTTTCTTCAGTCGAAAAGAAATTAAAGGGGTCATAAATTGGTACATGCACTTTTACAAGTTGATTGTACTGCAATGTGTGTTGCAGTGCCTGTACATAACCATCATTTAATGATAACAATCCATCCAGTGGTTTTGTTTTAATCTCCTTATATGTTTTCCTCTGCCTCAAATCGAGCCTTTTAAGGTTCTATATAGACTTTCTGACCCCAAGACTCAACTAATCTCTGCAATTCTCCATCGGTGATCCTTGAAGAGTCTTTGGCCACTCAAACTTTCATCCTCACCATCCATTAAAGGGGTCATGAACTGGCTTTTAAATTTTAATATTGTTGTCTGAGTTTAACTTATGACGTTCGCTTGGTTTTTGCATTCAAAAACATCAAAATGAATTAGTAATAGGCTATTTTGTACCCTAGTTTTGAGCCTAGCTGAAAAACGCTGGGTTTTTATTGGCGTCTCGCACTGAAGACTTGGAAGTAAACGCCCACTGCTGTGAGTGGATAACAGTTTTGCATATTATAATGAGTTTCAACTCACCCGTCGGTGTACTTGGTGAAAATTGTTTTGAAAATGTCCAATGTTGTAAAATGGCAACTGGAATGATTCGCCCATACATGTTCGACCCAGAGTTCATGTGTTGCACAATTCCTGTCGGATCCAATATAGACGGCACAGCACCGTTCTTTACTCTTAATCGGTCTGCAAATCCAGTCTTGTTTACAAAACAATCCTTAGTGAAATGAAGCGAACAGACGGACGATGTTTTACCTCATCAGCTGGAACGTCATTAAAAATAAAGTTTATCTATGCAGTCCTATTGGAATCCAGAGAAAGCTTGTGCAGCGACTGTCTTCTTCCACAACCAGACGCTGCACAATATTCTGTATTGCTCGGTAGCTCGATCTGATTTGTCATCACGAGGTAGGCATCTATGTTATTTTCTATGCGTGTAATGCGCGAATCGGTGGGCGGGTTCTAAACCGGCCGTGTTGAAGTAGGAGTTGATCTTCTTCTGCAGGGTTGGTGTTTTATCCTATTTGAGTCATAGTTCCCCACTTTGAAAAACGAGTCATTTGCTGAGCCTGGTGTCAATAAAAGCTTTTATTGGACTAACAAGGACGTTTCAGTTCTGAAATTTACATGATAGATGTCAAAAGCACAAGGAATATTTGATTCTCAGTTCATCACCCCTTTAAGGCAATATAGAAACACATACTCTTCCTGGCCGATTCGTAACATAGTTGATTGGAACTTCTTAATTATTGTATTGTCCCGATGGTCAAAATGGGGGCAATAATTAAGAGCCAATTAATTAAGAGCTTACAGCCACTTTCTGAACTATAGAACTATATTCTTTGGTTTTACTCGTGATGGATGATTACAGGAATTTGGCATTTGTGTTTCCTCATATTTAAACTCATGTGAAACAAGATGTCATAGCTAGACAATTTCATGTTCCTAGTCTTCCTGGTGTGCTAAAAAAGGTAAACATTAATTGCGAATATATTTCAGAGATAGGCTCATAAAAAATTCTAGGGGTGCCAATTATTGTGGCCAACGTGTTTTGGAGAAAAACATTTCATAAGGTGATTTCCCCCACACTTTCAATTATTTTACTTCAATTTAAGGTTCGATTTTTGTCTATTGTTTGAATTAAATATCATAAGGATGAACGAAGCACATTTTTACAGCCAGTTTTGAGCATATTTAGGGGTGCCATTAATTCTGAGCATGACTGTATGATGTTGCCATTAATCACCATTAATAATAATCCATTAACTAGAAGGATGGGTTCTGTGCTGTAAAGTGTAACTTTCAGATACACTTTCAAGATAAAGTGATTGACCTCGCCTGATTAGAACCGTGTGTAAAGAGATCCACAAATTCCCTTTGTTGTAAATGTAATTTCAAAGGCAGAAGCAGGAGTCACGGTATTCTTGAAATGCTACTCTTCATCCAGGTGTGTAGGAATGCAGGAGCGATCAGTTCTCGGGTGTCCCGGAACCCGAAGGCCGCTGGATATTGGCCTTTCTTTAGATCATTAACTCTATATTTACTTAGTTTTCTTTTCCTGAATACCAGTCTTTGGCCTTGTGAGAAAAAAGTCAGGTTATACAGAACAGTAACAGGTACACTATTGCCAACTGATTCCCACACAACTTTCCATAATCGTTAATAAAAGACTAACTTATGTTTATTCATCATAGCCTACAGTACAATTTTCCAGAGAATTCTTGCTCTTATGCATTGTCGAATAAGTAACCTTGACCTCAAAATACACCATGTAGGCTACCATGGTGTACTTTGCATGTTATCCATGAGTTTTATCTGATTCTCTATGTATAATGTATCATAAAGCATTTATTGCTTTACTCTAAATACAGACCCATACTTTCAATCTTACACTAAAACAAAATTCACTTAAACTAAAAGTTCATTAAGAACTGACAATCTAAAAAAAAAACGATTTATTGTTTGGTTTAAAAACGTTATATCATATCTGTAAAATGATTGCTTACAAATAAAATTTGCTTCTTTGAGATGAACACGTGATGCGTGAAGAAAACAAAGAAAAAATAAGATATTATAATATTTTTTCAGTTTCCAATCAAGCTGGTTTTCAAATTATGTTTATAATGCCAACTGCATCACAATATTTTCCAATAAAAAAATGCTCAAACACAACATAGGCTATAATTGATAGAAATAACAAGTAGCGGAAATATAGAAAAAAAAGAATAAAAATTACAATTCTTCTGCAATGCTTATATGCTCACTGTAGGGCATTGTTTGAAAACCAGAGTAAATTGAATATGTTCCATTTGCAGGAAGTGACTTATAAGTGCTGAAGAGTGTAATTCAACTGTTTGCCGCTAGATGACACACCTTCACTGTAGCAAAAAATACCGTAGTTAATTCTCTTTCTCCTCCAGAAGAGGGCGCTCGTTTAGAGACGTTCTACACTGTCATATATTCTATATTTTACAGCAAATAGAATTTGAACTGTGTAGTGATAGCTTGTACAATTAAAATTTTTTCAAACCTGTATGAGTTTATTTCTTGTCCTGAACACAAAAAAAAGACATTTTGAAGAATGACGGTAACCAGACAGTTGATGTTAGCCAGTAGAAAAACAAAATACAATGGAAGTCAATGGACTGTCTGGTTATCACCATCTTCTTTTGTTAACACCTTAAGAAGGAAAAAAACTGTGAAAGGACATACGCGGTGAGTAAATGATGACATCATTTTCATTTTTTGGGTGAACTATCCCTTCAACGCTGCCATTAAATATGTCCATTTGACCCACTTTAAAGTATTACACTTGAATTTCATTAGCATAATGCTAACAGTAAGCATATTACACTAAAAGTTCATTGTTTATGTTCATTTGTTGGTATTTATTTTCGTTGAAAGAAAAATACAGCTGTAGAATATTCAGTATCGGGTTTATCTCATGTCCATTGATTGAGTGACCTACAAAGTGCGCACTAACCCTAACACGCTCTCTCTTTAAAACCTCAGTGTCCCTTTAATCTGCGGATCAGCGCGCTGACGTCAGCGAACCCCCAGGGCCACGCGCTCCCATTGGCTGGAGGTGACGTCAACGGCATTTTTTTCCCTCCTGAACCATGACCTCATCCTTAGTTCATTTATAGTGCCTAAGTGCACCTTCTGTTTTCCCGGCTGGCTAATGTCTACTATCGCTTATCTCTCGTTTCCTTGCGGCGTAACTGGCCCAGTTGCGCTGTAGAAGAATGAAAAGGTTTTAATGGTTGTTTTGTTGTTCGCATGTGTGTGGCAGACAGCAGTACAGACTCATGGTTAGTATACACTAGTGACGTCTGCTGGCGAATGGCTTCCCATCGGAGCGCAGTGCCCTACATGGAGAGCAGCTGAAACACTCAGGACCAGGGCAAACGGAGGTGAGTGCAGGCTATGAAAGGGGCGTATTGATATTTGAGACCTCACATTAAGGCATGTGGCTTTATTTTGATGATAGGGGAACAGAGACTGTGCTTTTTTGGGGATGGACGTACTAGCGTGTATCGACCACTAGTGTCTAGCCTGAATGAGGGCAACGATGTGTCTCAATGACATGTTAAACCAGACAGTGGTTATTATCATAATGTATCATCAATCGGCCATCGTTTGTTGTTGAGTAAGGTATTGTATGGTCATGACAGATTATATTGCATGTTTGTCTTCTGATTTAAGTGAGGCTTGTTATATGTGTCCTCTGGATATACAACATCAGGTTTATTTTACATTTCATTTACATGAAGGATGTCTATTATGTCCATAATACTGTACCTATATGTCAATAATATTAAACAATAACAATAAAATAACACATTCTATAAATATGTATAACAACAAATAGTAATTGATTATTAATTATGAGTTGTAACATTTGAATGTTGATAAACTATGATATTATTGATTTTGAACTTTAATTTATTGTAATACAACAATATAATATGAATTTAATTATAATTATTTTGAAAGTCCTATTAACATCATGTAATAATAAAATAACAATAATCACATTTTTTAAATATTTGATTTAATTGAATAAAAAAATAGATATTAACTTTGTAATATATAACGCCTATTATAACCTATATACAATATAATATTTAGTTTGAATAATTATTATTAACAGTAACAATAATAATATGTCATCATTATTGTTATTAGTAATAATTTAACAACATAATTAAAAAAAAAAAAAATATATATATATATATATTATATATATATATTAGTTTTTATATATCTATACTATATTTTTTAACATGAATTGATATGAAACAATAAAATAACAGATTAATAGTTTTTATTATTTGTATATGAATAATTAATAGAGCCATTGAATGATCAATCATAGATATTGACATTATAATAAATAAAATATAATGTCTTGTATAAAAAATATGTGTTATTTATTTTGATAATTTAGTATTAACATTAGTAATATGCTTTTATTATGTTTTTATAATGGATACGTTCTCTAGTCTATAAATTAGCTTTATTATTACATAAATATAGCACAAATGTTCTAATGCTCATACAGATAGATAGATAGATAGATAGATAGATAGATAGATAGATAGATAGATAGATAGATAGATAGATAGATAGATAGATAGATATGATTATGATATGATTATAGAGTGATTATTGAAGTGAGCGCACATGGTTATAATTTGTCTCAGAAGGAAAACTTTGAGTACGTTGTCTTTCTTTATGGAATATGAGAACATAACTGATGCATTGATTTAAAATGCTTTGAAATATTTGTATGATTTGAAATGTTATGAAACTAAAAAGCTCTTGCTCCATAATATAAAAGGCAGATTGGCCCATGTTACCAAATCCAGTTCATCACAACAGATGATATCACTGCAACAATGATTAACAAATGCATGCAGGCTCAGACAGAACAATGGTCTATATCAACGTGCGTATGGCACAGAGTCCAAATAAGTGATGTCACCCATATAGTTAATGAATAACCTGGATTAAGATATTTCTTTCTTTTATCTTCCATTCGGTGATGTTTGTTGGCTGTTGTTCAGGTGTAGTCTGTCATTGTAAAGCAATTGCTGTCACTTTAAATAGAGATGCGTTTCTCTTTGTTTTGCTGTCATGGGCCATTTCAGCTAATATAAAAAAAGAAGAAAAAAAATAGATTTCTTTTTTTGTCGTTTCCCGAAATGCTACTCGGAAGTATGAAATCCCTGGAAATCAATAGAACAGATGTGTGGTGTGTTTCTTGCTTTGGGATGTGAGGCGACAGACTCCGCAACCTCTCCGCATGCCCAGACAACTTTTTTCCTTTTCCGTTTTTATATTCCGTTGCCATGGCAACTGTGTAGTCTCACTCCGTCTCCACATCAGCACTTTGCACCACTGTTGTTTATGATGAAGTAAAGTAATACAGTCTGGAATAATTAAGATTTTTTGTGTGTGTTTTTGAAATAAGTCTCTTCAGCTCAGAAACGCTGTTTTTATTTGATCAAAATACAGTAAATCAGTGAAATATTATTACAGTGCAAAAGAACTGTTTTGTATTAAATATATTTTAAAACATCATTCATTCCTGTAATGCAAAGCCGAATTTTCAGCATCATTACTCACACGTCACATGATCAATCAGAAATCACTCTAATATGCTGATTTGCTGCTCAAGAAATGTTTATTATTGTAGTTATTTTTATTATCAGTCTTGAAAACAGTTTTAGTTTCATATTTATGTGGAAGATTTAGCAAGAATGCATTACATTTATATTATTCATTAAAAAATACCAATACCAAGCAGCAAATACTTATAATAATAAGAACCATTATTAATAATTGAGTACCAAAATTATTTTGTAATAAATAAGCACCAAATCATCATATTAGAATAATTTCTGAAGGATCATGTGAACTGTGGTAATAATGCTAAAAAAAAGGAATACATTCCAATTGTTAGTTAATATTAGTTAATATTAGGGCTGTCAAACGATTAATCGCGATTAATCGCATCCAAAATAAAAGTTTGTGTTTAAATAATATATGTGGGTGCACTGTGTTTAATTATTTTGTATATATAAATACACACACATGTATATTTAAGGAAAACAATATTATGTATGTATAAAATATTTATATTTATATATAATATAAATTATTATATATATAAACTGTATATAAATTAAATCTATATACAGTATATACATGAAAATATTTCTTAAATGTATATAGTGTGTGTATTTATATATCTAAAATAATTATACACAGTGGACCCACATATATTATGTAAATACAAACTTTTATTTTGGATGCGATTAATCGTGATTAATCGTTTGACAGCCCTAATTAATATGCATTAACTAATGGAACATTGTTGTGAAGTGTTACCTGTTTTACTGTATTTTTGATCAAATAAATGCAGCCTTGGTGAGGATAAAAGAAAATGTAAAAAATATTGTCTGGTAGAGGAAAATATGCAATATAACCTCAAATAAAAAAGCATGTCACACCTTGTTGTCTTTAAAAATGCAAGACAGGTGTACTGTAAAAAAAAAAAAAAAATCTTGATTTCTTTTCTTTTGTCAAATCATCTTTGATAATTAATGCAGATAACATAATATTTCGAGTTTCTATCTCGTTCATTGTATTAACTCAAATATGTTATTTCAATGAACTCAAAATGAAGGCCACCGGGTAACTTAGGCTACTTTTTTAAGTTAAACCAACGATAATTTGTGTACAGTGAACAGTGCAAGGTAATGCTCAGTCGGTGGACTCGAGAGAATACACACACCTTCTCATTTCGACACAAACAGTGTCAAACCGCAGTGCACAGCCCCCCCAACCCTGCCACTGGAGTTGTCAAGCCGAAGGAACGCCATTAGACACATGCAGCGTCAGCCTTGTTATTCTCTGACGTGCCTCCACTTCTTCCTCTCATCCTGCGGGCCGCGGGGGGGCTGTTGTCATGTTATCGACCGTCCGATTGCAGGAGAGGTTACAGTGAGGGTTTCTTTTCTCCAAGGTGTGGCTGTACATCCTTCCTGTGGAGCGATTAAAGAGACAGAAGGGTGGTAAGGAGGTTTCTGTCTCTGGTGGATTATTGCGTGTCTGGAATCCTGCATGTGTGTGTGTGTTCTGGTGAGAATATGCAGGTTATGGTTACTTATGGTGACTGGGATTGTGATCAAAACAAAGGCGTCCATGTTGGGATGCTGGTTGCGTGAGGCTGGTCCTCTGGCAGCGTCGCTCTCGCACCGCACTGGGTTTGTTTATGTGGACGTGATGGGAAACGAGCCGTTTCATTATGAAACTGATGGATTATAACTGTTTAGAGAGAAACACTGGAAGTGCGAAGTGAAATGGAGATTGTGTGTGTGTGTGTGTTTGTTTATGTTCTTAAACATTCTGCTTGAATGCTTGTTTTTCTTCTTTTGTTTCCTATATAGCAAAAAGTCATTTATTTAATATATAAATATACATTAAAAATGTGTGCATGAGAGTCTGTGTGTGTGGCTCCTGATTTCTGCGCGGCGCTGCAGATATCTGAGTGTTGCAGCATCACCCTCCCTCAATGCAGCAGCAGAGAGAGAATGAGAAATAGACAGAAAGATAAAGTGTGAAAGTTTGAAGCAGCTTATATTCAAGGTTATTATTTTTAACAAAAACTATTAAAAAGATGAAAACAAACATTAAAACATTTTTTTTTTGCATTTGAACCAAAATTTAACAAATTGTAAATGTGCACTAAAATACAGATAAAAACTTAATACAATTTCATTATTCTTAGTTTTTTTTCCATAGTTTTTTTTTTAAGTAAAAAGTGAACGAAAACTAAATAAACTGTAAATGTGTGCTAAATACAATTGAAATCTCAATAAAACTTGGTTAAAATAATTTTTTTCTTTACAGTGTTTTTTGTTTATTTTTTAAGTCAAATAAAAACAAAATGTTTGCAAGCAGACAAAAAACGAAAAACATAAATGTGTGATAAAATACAATGAAAACTTAATAAAACTGGATAAGCATTGTCATGCTTGTTTTTTTTTTTTATGTTTTTTTGTTTAGTTGTAGCCCTCAATCGGGTCATGGGGTCTATACGACCGCAATCGACTTTAACTTAATAAAAAAAAAAAGGTCCCCTTCATCTCAGTGGAATAAGATTTTGTGACTTTTCATACATTATCTCTGTTCTGAAGGTATGTAGAAAAAAAAAATGTTTACACTTCTTGTCTTCGGGGTCAATATGATCCCACATTGAAACGAATGGGGAAATGTGAAAAAAAAAAAAAAACCCAACTAAATATATGTTCTTCACGTGTCAAAAAAAAAAAAAAAAAAATCTGGCTTAAATCTGAAAATTTTTACACAGAAATGAAGGCCTAGTACTAGAGCATAAATGCTA